CCAGAGCCTGTGGCAGCACACATCACGTGTCATCAGTCAGTCTCTGTACAGAGGCACTATTCCTGCACTGCTCACCACATCAGCTCCTGTACCCCGCCCTGCTGTGGGTACACAGGGACAGCCTTCCCATCCCACAGTTCCACCACCCCATAACCAGCTTTCATCTGCTTCTTCAGCCTTTACCTTGCAACAAGCAGAGCTCTCTTCTCCTGACCCAGAAAAACACTTTTAAGAAGCAATTAAAATTAACAGAGTTCAGAGCCTGTGCTCTAATATTGAGGTGTTGGATAGGATGCAACAGTCATGCAGGACAGGAGGGAGGGAGCTTTTTCTGTCTATCAGATGTACAGGTCCCCCTGATCCTGACCACAGGTGTCACGTGATGTGGACCAGGAATTCAGTGCATGGCCATCAAATATGAATTACTGATTTACATGGTGCTAAGGCTGAGAGCACACACAAGACAGCCAGCAGCCACCTTAGGCCAGAACAGCTCCTCTACAGCTTGCTGGGCTGCAGCCTGGGAATGTATGCTGTACAAGGTGGTTTGGTGGCTCCTTCATGAGCCTACAGCAGATTAAATATGTGAAAGGTTTCTTGTTTCCATTGGGAAGTATCAAATACCGACTCTGAGATGTGTCATCGGTAACAGGACTGAGGCTGAGAGCCTCAACACCTCCATCTCCCACACAAGATGCATGCAGTCTGTCCATCCTACAGCCTACGTTACCCCCACCTCTATGCATTAAGGACAGCAACAGAGCCACAGAGCTGAAACTCTCAGTTTTGAACTATGAAATACATGCTGCACTTTCAAAATTTCTGTAGTTGCCAGGCCTGGGATACCTACAGCCCCTAAAGCTGTACACCCAAACCCAGCCCTACACACACCACCGTCCCCAGGGCAGAAACCCACCCCACAGGCTGCTCAGCACTGCCTAATCAAGCCACACACAGCAAATCCCCAACGATTATTTGCAGATGAAGGAAAACAAATAAATTTTTAAAAACCCAAAAACATAAAAAACCATCAACAACCAGAAAAAAAAAGGCAAGGAATTCTCTCTGCCTTTTATGGGGAGGGATGGATCCAGGTTAAGAAAACTCTGACCACGGCACTGTCTGGGGAGCAGACATTCCACTGAACTGGTTAGACAAGGGGCTGCAGGAGGACGGCTTGCTCAGGGGCATGACAAGAAGGTATGTACAGGGGGCGGGGGATGAGCTGCTCCATCCCTCGGGACAGCACTCCAGCTCCTGCAAACGAGGTCCCCAGAGCCACACTGTTGGGATGGCGGTGGCAGAAGACTTACAGACTCTGCAAACCCCTGAAGCAACACTTTCACCAGGGTGCTCCTGCTGAAATCCTTAGCCCAAAGCAGCTTTGAGTCTAGACCAGCAGCTCTTAGCATCAGTGAACAGTTTACAGGACTTTTAAAAGACAGTAAATAAAAGCGATTTTGCACCTGGTAGAGCAGGCTGACAGCACTAAAAGGGCTCCAGGACAATGCAGGGGTTATTGCACTGCCACACACCCACTCCTTGAGAGAGATCTCCAGACCCCTCCTCCCTGATGCCCCAGGGCATTTAACCAGTCAGACACAAATATAAAATTGCTATAACACTACCTGATTTCTAGCACTGCAGGATATAGGCTTTGCAATCAGTGTTCATCCTGAATGGAGGGAACTAGACACCACCCCACCACACCCCACAGATCCTTGAGCAGAGTAGAGGCTAGGGACCACCTTCTTTGGTACACTTAATGAATGGCAGGAGACCCACAAGGACACACATGCAACTTACCTTCCTGGCCATCCACAGCTCCTTTCCACACCAAGGCCATGGCAGAAAATAAGTGTTCTCCACACCCACAGGGACCACCAGCCCTTCATTCCAGTTATGCAAAAAAGGCCGGGGTTTCCCAGTCTGCCTGTGGTTCACACCAGGGGAAAGGAAGGGCCACAGCTGACAGCCAGGATGGGCCACCCAGGACATTGTGAAAGAGCCAGTCACAAGGCACACAGCTGGGGAAGGTTGTGCCAACTGTCTAACATTATACCAGACCCAGAAAACTCTTCCTGACCCTCTCCAGATCTTTTCAACCTAAGGCCGTGCAGATCACCAGTTTCTTTAACCCCTTTCTTACACAGGCACAGGAAGATTATACCTTCCTTAAAACAAGTGCATAAGAACTGCAAGGTCTCAGCAAGGGACAGGGCTATAGCCCAGATGAGAGAGGTTTCTGTGTCACCCCAGCCTTCCTCCCCAGGTTTCCACCCAAAGAATTGCATTTTCAAGGCAATGAACACAACTGATGGGTGTTCAGCAGGGCAGGACTTGTACTCCTTTTCCAGCCCACTTGCAGGACAGTTTCTTCAGGCACTGCAGCTCCTTCCCCACTACTAGATCTGTTGTGAATAAGCACTTGCACCCGCAAAAGTCAGATAATAATAATAAAACAAAATACCAAAAATATCCCCCAAAACCAAAAAAACCCACAGGTTTCACCAAGACAACTCTTAGGCTCAAGGATGGACATCTTTTAAGATGGCAAGTTCCATTTTTCAGCCATAAACTGTGAGAAGGTGCAATGCTGATTTTAAAAGTTGATTGGAATTGCTTTGAAGTCCACACAAAGACAATTGCTTTAAATAAACCACTCTTAATTGCTCTGCACCCATTTAAATCTCACATGGTGATGCATTTTGGAGAAAAACTGGCCTTGTTCTTTTCCTAAGACAAATATAATACTATAAAGCACTCCGTCTTGATCTCTGTGCTCATCTCCCAGGGCCCCTCTGTTTCTGCTGCATTCCTTTCTGTTTATCTGCCCTCTTCAACCCTTTGCTGCAATCAGCTGCATGCAGCACCTTGTGTCTAGAAGTGACATGGCTGAGGTTACAGGAGAGACAGGTGCAAGGGAAGCTCGTGCCCCGAAGCCATCCAAAGGAAAAGAGAAGCTGGAGGGGAAGAGAGTTGTAAGGTATTTTAGATTAAAGCAAACACCTTGCCCCAGGCTACACATTCTCTGCCAATGAAAGCTTCAAGCCCCAGAAACAGCAAAGCAAACACAGACTTCTCTGCAAGGGGAGTTGTCACCTGTCAGGGATGTTTGCAAATTTATAGGGTGGTGGTGGTGGTAAGGGGAGTAAAAAGAGCTTTCCTCATTTTAAAAGACAGGCTGTTTGCACAGGTTTGCAATGCATATTTTGCTTTGTGAAAGCTTTTGTCCAGCGTTCAACTGAGAGAAGGTGCTGTCTTCCACTGAAGACAAACTGGAACATTTATAAATGTACATACATTAATGTACTCCGAGCTGCGGCCTTTACGGCAAGGGTGAGGATGGGATGGAATTTCCCCACTCCCCCTTCAGCTTATCACGTCAGTGAAAAACACTTCTTAAAAAGAAGTCACCCGGCAGCCTGGCCTCTTCCAGAAATGCCTCCTGCAAGGCTGGGCTCAAACCCATCATCAGCGAGAAGTAACTTCATAGAGAGAGCTTCTCGTCCCCTTCCCAGGCAGCAGTGCTCATCTCAGCAGTGCTCAGAGAGAACAACGGGAAGGGACTTTCCATTCGTGTTTCACTGCAGGACTGACAGGAGACAGAGACCCTGAACAGGCCTTCAGCGAGCCCAACAGCCACTGCAGTGCTCTGCAGACAGCTTGGAGGAACAGGAGATGGGGAAGTGAGCTTGTGCTCAATGCCACAAATCCAGATTTGAGCATGGAAGGAGAAAAGTTACTGCTAATGACCTTTAAACTGTTGGGGATTGTTTTTTAGGAGGACATAGTTCAAACAGACCATTATAGTCCACTTTGAAAATCAGAATCCCCTCTAAACATGGAGAATCTTTTGGACTATTGAAGAGACACCATTTCACTGGAGCTGTGCTATAATGGTGGAAAAAGCCAAGATCTAGATGCTGATGGAAGGCTTGCAGCCCGCCAAATGCCAAATCAAAAGATCAGACGTGATGTAGTTTATGTCTCCTTGTGCACTTGGATTAGTTCACCCTATTAGCCACACACATACCCACCCTCAAACTGGCTTTCTAACCCTTTGCAACCTTCATGGAAAGAGAAGAGCACTGCAGCCTCCCTAGCAGTCACACCAGTGCAGCACTGACAGGGCAAACCTCTTGTCACCAGGGACTGTAACCAGAATGACCCAGGAGCTCCTTCCTGGCAGACACAATCCTCCAGGTCACTAATACAACCAGGATATAGACTGCCAACACACCATCACTGGGCACATCAAAGATTGTGGTTGATTAGCCAGAGAATTAAATGACAGCAGTTTCTCAGGATGGAAACGGTACAAGAAAATCTACAGATACCAACATAAACTTCACTTTATTTTTACCCTGAAGCATACAAAACCCAGGAAGAACAGAAACAGGACATGAGCAGCTCCAACTCCTGAAATACCTCCTGCTCCAGCCTGCAAGAAAAGTACCTGGCCTTTTCAGAAGAGCTATAGCTAAGAAAGAGCCAGTCTGTTAGTGCCAAAGGCAATGAGCCAGCAACCACCAGTGCCTCATCTGCATTCTAGTCTTGAGCCACATCCCTGAGACACCCATGGCCAAGACTCATTACAAACACTTTAGTCTGAAGAAACAAGAGGGGAAAAGAACCCAACCACGGTCTTAAAACAAGTTTTCATTCATATATGACACTCAAGAGAAGAAAAACCAGAGATGAACCTCTGGTCTTAGCAAAATTGCAACTCTGCTCAGAATCCAAATTATTTTAACCCTGAGGTCAAACTAGCTCTAAGCAGGGAGAGTGCAGGGATGGTTGAGTAGCCTGTGCAAGAGGCTCCTCAGCTCTCCTGCCAGTTTAGCTGCCTTGTCCCTCTCTCCTGCTATTGCTGCTGCAGAAGGAGCAGGTGAGGAGCCAGCCAAGGTGGGAAGATGGCCCTGGGGCAATGCAGCTGGAATAGCTCCTGCAAAAACTCCCCTTCTCCCCAAAGGTTAAGGAAGTTTCTCATTACTCACCCACATTGGGTCATTCAGCTCGGTGTCCTGCACCCGCACACAATCCATGCTGATCTCAATTTTGTTTGTGGAGCCATCTTCAGATGGGCCATCGATGAAGTTTAAATCGATTGGCTGAACTGAACATATTGGTCTGGAAAGGACACAGTAATGAAGTTAAAACTGGCCAAGTTCTGTTTTCCACCACCCCACCTTCTTTCCCTTCCCCTGTGCCCAGGACGCTGGCATTACAACGAGCCAGTCTCCTGACAGAGTAAGGAATTACTGAGGAACAACTACTCCTCACCACTGTATTACAGCAGCCCCTGAACAGCAGGGCCCAGAGGGACATCTTACTTACTCTGAGGCAAGAGCAGAGGAGTCAAACTGAAAGACAGAACTCATGGAGGACTTACAGCAATTATTGTTTCAGCATCAGTCATGGCAAGTCAGGAATGGGAACAGAGTCAGTTTTCTTACAGTCAATGGACCTGACAGGGTAAACTCTGCACCAGCTTCACCTCCTCTCCCTCCCTGGCATCAGCAAGGGGAAAACATGCAGCCTGGACACAGTGATGAGCCCATTTCCTGAGGGGAATTGCCAACCACAAGGCTTAGGAAGCAGCCAGCTCAGCCACCAGAGGCCTGGCAGGGAATCAGTGTCACTGCTGATCACCACACTTGGTCTCCACAGCCTGGGTGTAGGACCTCTGGAGAGCTCAAGAGCTGTCAGCCATCACAGACTGACACATCCAACCATCACATCCATATCTTATCAACAACAGAAGACTCCAAACTCCCCAGCATCAATCCCCTGAGCAGCCTAATTGTAAAGGCCCTCTGTACTAAAACACCTTCCATATGTTTCACATAAGGGCTACTTACTGTTCCAGGAAGTCCCAGATATGCTGGATTACCTCTGGGCTGAGGAATTCCCTGGGCTGAGAGCTCTGGGACATGGCTGACCGGTAGTAACTCTCCTTCCAGGAGAAGGGGCTCGGAGTTTCTACAAACCTTAAAAAACAAAGGCAGAAAAGAAACCAAAAAAACAAAACAAAAAAATAACCAAAAGAAGAAAAACACACACAAAGACAAGTTGAATGGATGAGTCCAGCTTGATGAAAACCCATAAATAGAAGCTATTGTGTGAAAAAGGAGACACGCTGAATGCCTGAGACATTCACAGCTGTACAACACACATTCCACACTGCTACAGATGCTGTATTTAGATGGAAGAGGATTTGGCCATCCTTCCCTGTAAGTTAAATACCTCTCAGAATCCACTGGGATGCTGGTCATAAGAATCCCAGAGTGGGGAAAAAAACCCCGAACAAACTACTTTCCATTTTCCCTCAAATAATCAGCTTCCCATATGAAGCAGGTAGTCTTTGCAGCAGATGAAGCAGCTAAGCAATGTGGGACTCCACTGTCCCAGGCTGTTTGCTTGTCTAAATGGCACGTCCTTCAATGATTTAAGCGACTTCTACACCCAGCCACTGCAGCTGAGATCTTGAACTAAGTTGTTTTTGTTTGTTTTGGGTTTTCTTGGGTTTTTTTCTTTTATTAATTTAAATAATAATATTTTTGTTTTCTTTTTTATGGAAATAAGTTCAATCACATTAGATTTTATCTGCTTGTCTACTGCCTTCCCCCAATTTCTGAGCCAGACCAACTGATTTCCACCAGATCTGATAATTACCTTGGCCATTTTTATCCCCTTAAGCCCCCACAAGCCTCACAGAAATAGGTGGGCCCAAGAGGAGCAGTGACAGAGCTGGAGCGCTCATGCCTTCCACAGCTGCACATTCTCATCCCACTGGCCAATTTCTAAATTCAAACACAGCAGCTTTTACACCCATGTCAAAATACTTGACGGCTGTAGGGATGTAAAGAGGAAGGGAGGAATTTCTCCAGTGTATTTGCAGTTGACAAAAACTCTCAGTTCAACTTCAGAATATGAGGCAGGTGACCACCCTTCCTGCTACAGGGTTGGGGGTGTCCTGCAAAATTTCCATACAAGAGTCATTTCAGCACAATGCAAGTAAACTACCTCATTCTCTGCCAGGGGAATGGCTGTGGCAGGAGCCAAGGTTATAACTGGATTCCAAAGAGAACTGAACTAATATTTCCTTTGGTACATATTGGTCCTGATTTACACAATGGTCTAAACAAATTGCATGGAAGACCCTAATTTAATAAGCTGCCAAAATTAAGAAAGAGTGTTTCAGAGGGTGGATTACACTTAGAGTGGTTTTACTCCACTTTTCCTGAAGTATTTACTTCTGGCTGCTGTCAGAGAGGGATCTAGCTCTCTTTATTGAATTTTTATAGCCTCTTTCATTATGAGGATGACTCTGGTCTGCAGAAAGCTGGGTTTTCCTGACCTCTGCTATCCACAGAACTGCATGCTCTTAGAAAAGAGCAGACTGTTATTCTAAGCTAAAGGAAATCAAAGTGGCTTAAAAGCCTCCTGGAGCATCACTTCAGTTCCTCATCCTTTTTGTGATTAGAAAAAAAACCTCCAGCACAATTTAGAAGTTCATGAACAGCCAGAAACAAAAATGAAATGCAGAATTTCATGGGTAATAGCTGTGCCCCACAGATGGGAACACATGCCCACACTACATGTGAAAAAATAATCACAAATCCTCTGAGAACAGCAGTTATCCCAGAAAATACCCAAAATTACTCCTTTCATGCTTTCAGCGAGGTAAGACACTTTCAAGAATGCTGTATTGAAACCCAGAAGAACAGATCTGGCCTAAAGCCTGTCATATACATTGCAGGTCAATGCCACCACGAGCCTTGGAGGAGCACAGTGGGAAGCTCTGCAACCTCCTCAGTTCCTATTGAGGAATACCCTGCACCCAGCCCTGGCCACAGAAACCCCATAATGGGTTCTCTCAAGCCATCAAAGTGCTCATTTTTAACAATTGTTTGCCAGTTATCACAACTGCTCTTGACTTGTAAACTAAAAATCACTTTTCATTGCTACACAGACAGGAACTAATGTCAATAAAAGAAGAGCTAGAGCCAAACTAGACCTTTCTTTCAAAAAGTCTCAGTGCAACAAGGTTCCTGCATGCCATGGCATGCCTCAGATTTGGTTCACTGCTGGACACAGTTTTCAGTCTCAAAAAGGCAAAATGTCCCAGTTCAGCCTGCCTGCTCTGGTCCTGGTGGTCCTCTTCAGCTGCAATTCCACAAACCTGTCCCAACCAAGCAGTGCAGGATCTATCAGCTGCACAGACTGATAAAGCCAGGTTTGTTACTCTACACCTTTGCAGCTAACAAAGCTGTTGGAAAGCACTGCACCAGTTAAGGACACAGCTATATGTTGCTTTTTACTCAGTTTGGTGCACCCTGTTCTCAGATGGGAAAAATCTATCAAAAGGTAGGAAAACCAACTTGAGCTCAGCACAAAGCTGCATGCAAGATAAACTGTCTCCCTCCCTGTGAGCTCAACAGAATCTAAACCTAGTGCTATTTTCCTTAACTAACAGCCTTCAACATAGAGGAGAACCCTCTGTCTACTAAACACATACTTAAGTGTCTGAATTTTCACTGGAAAATAACATCTAAAGCCTAAGAAAAATCTGTGTGTAAATGTCACTACTTTAGTTAATTGTCTTTTCCCACATCAGCAAATACTCTGCTTTCAGTAAAATATTCACTGAGTGCCTAAAGATAATAAGAAGACTGCATTGCTTAAATTGCTTGCATGAACCAGATGCTTTTTCCTATTAACAGACATTTACACAACATCCCTTGTACCTACATCCTGCTCATCCCAAAGGCCATCGCAGGAAATAGCACTACTGAACATAGCCTCTTATACCAAAATACAACAGAACAAGGCATAGCACTAAATTTTGTCTAGATTGTCTTTGTTTCAAGTCTATAAGGTAAGTTCCTGCACCAACTGCTGAACTATTTGGCAGGATGCTTTTCAAAAACATAGAGCAGTAACTGCACCAGGAACTACAGGGGGATTTACAGCCCCCAGCAAACTACAAGCTGAATAGGACATTACATCCACAAGCCCCTCCTTTAAAAACCACCAGGGGATTATTAATAGCAAGTTAAGTCTTCTCACAGAGGCAGCACCTCACCAAGAGCAGCGTTCCTTTGTGCAGTGCTGGGACACTTCAGCGAATCCCAGGCCAAGTTTCAGGCAGCTCTGCCTTCTCGCTGAGGTCCTATTTATCTGGCTGAAACAAGAGCAGCCCAGAGTCCAGGTGGAAGCACTTCTCCAAATGCACTAGGTGGGCTGCAGCCTCGGGCACGCTGATTGCTGTGCTGCCCCCTCAGCACTGCCCCAGAAGAGCTGTGGAACAGCCCTGTGAGTGGGGACGTGTCCCAGCTGATCCCCTTTGCCACCCCACTGATGAGTGACATCTCTGCAAAACACAGCAATGGCAGCAACACGTCCCTGTAGCTGTGCCCACACAGCACTCTGTTCCACAACCTTCCGGGAGGCTGGGAATGTTAAACTTCGCAAAAAACCCCCCGGACCAAAACCAACAAAAAAAAACCCCAACCAACCAACCGAGCAAACCAAAAAGCAACTCACCCTTCCAAAAACCAACGAGCAAAGCACTGCTTTTGCCTCTCATAAGCTGTGGCCACAGCGCTGTTGCCTTTCCCCGGAGCCCATCACAGGAGGAAATGGAGGCCTGGCTGCTGGGCCCAGCGTGACATAAAAGGGGTGCCGAAGTGGAGAGAAAACAAAACCATTCCTGCTTCCACTGCTCACTCTAAATGCATCCTTCTATTGTTCACCACATCACTCCCCTTCCTACCTTCGTAACAAAGAGATTGAAGATAAAGAAAAGAAACCCCTCTCCACCCCAGGAAACAATGACAGAAAGCTATTCAACTCAACTACTCCAACACAGCAACACTTCTCACCCAAAATGCCACCTTTCACTGCAAACAATCTTTCTTAGAAAGGGCTTAAACCAAAGCACCCAGGTTGGACTTACCACTGGGGAAAAGCCACGAGTTCCCGAGGAAACCACGAGCCAGCCTTGGTACCGAGCATGCACAGCCCAGCCCAGCCCCTCCTCGGTAGCTTTGGTGCTTAAAGGCAGATGTCACCTCCTTGCACTGATACAGGGTCAAGTGTGACACAGGGTGCTGCCCCAGCACTGCTGGCACGTGTGTGAGCCCAGCAGCCTCCTTCCAAAAATAAAGACTGGCACAACCAAGAGGTAGCTGGTTTCCTTTGTTTTTTCTTCCAAAACGGGCTTGGTGCCACAGCACTCTGAACTGCTCCCCGGTTTAATAGCATGGTTTATGTGGAAACCAGAAATGGGTAAGGTATTTCAGGGAAGCCGCTGTGTTTGGTTTCAAGAGGTCCAAGCACCTCCATTTCTCCATAAGTTCCCTCAAAAACTGGAGCTCTGGTTTGGTTTGTGTTTCTCCTGTAGTGTGCAAGATCTCAGAAATTATCAGTATGGTTTATAGGTGCAGAACTTTGTGTCTTCATGTTGGTGTAAAGCCACATGGTAAAATTTTCTAACATTAAATCTTTCACATCTTTTACAGCAGGGACAAGAAAAATGATTCAGAGCTTTCTTTCTGCATCTTGACAAAACTACAAGGTGTTGGTTTCTGCTTCTCCCCATGAGATGTCTATCAATGGTGTACAATTTTCTATCACTGAGCCTGCAGTTCTCAGTCAGTGGATATGCAGATGGGGCCAGAGAAGTCTTTCTCTGTAAGCTACAAATTTCCCTCTTTTTTCACAAAAAGTTATAGTCCCCTAAAGAATATGCTAGTGGAGTACTCAGGAAACCTTGATGCAGAGAGAACATCTGTTCTTATGAAGAAAGCACTTCCATTTTAAACCAATGTACCCAACAAATGATTAATAATGTCTAAATAATGATATCTAATATGCTTCATTTTATTCATAGTTCTCAAAGTGCTCTACAAAGGAAGATAGTATGATTACTCCCATATTACCTGTGAGAAAACTAAGGCACCAGGAGAATCACCACACAGAATTA